ACTGAGTACAGTAATAATCAACAATTCAGAAACGCAGCATGCCGAGATTTTTGTGTTCGTTTTTATTTGAAACTTCGTTTATTTAGAATATATTTTCGTTACCAATAAAATAAAAATCTCTCAGTCAATCAGAAACCCGGATTCATGCCTTTGAGGAAGGTCCCGTTTGAACGCTCACATCGTTTTTTTTTTCGTTTGGGGGAAAACTAAAACTGGTCGCAATTTTCGAATAAGAATGAGTCGGCAATTTTTAGTGGAGTCGAAAATTTGGAGGTGAATAAAACACCGAAACCCGGCAAATAAATAGGCGGTCAAATTTTTAGAGGGGTCGAAATTTTGGAGTTTTCACGGTGCTAATTATTCCATTTCAATGAAACTTAGTACAAAGATGCTCTAGGACAATGTACAAACCTAATTAGTTTGGGGTAAAAATCTGTTCATATTAATTCCCTAATAAGCATAATAATTCATAATTTTTTGGTTCTAATCACATTTCAATTAAACTTGGAGACATAGATTTTCTGTTACATTGCGCAGACCTCATTAGTTTTACACTCAAATCTGGTCATATTAATTTTCTGATTTGCATAATTAGTTTTCAGCTAAGTAATTTCAAATTATATTTAATGTGTCTCCAATACTCTCAGCACATGGGAGTTCTTTCTAAGCTTTCTTTGATTTATTTTTTTATTTTATGAGTATCCTCTTGTTAAAAGAGTACCATATTTGCTCTTTTAGAAGCGCATACACTAAAAGTACACATTAGTGGTGTGAGTCTATGACCAAAATAATTATTTTAACGTACAATTTGTGTGCTTTTATTGAAGATGCACTTCTAATAGAGCAAATAAAGTTATGAAGACTATGTGTTTATACCATCTAACAAAATGTATGTCCTTTTTGGAAGTTTTGCAAAATCATTCATAACTATTAATGTGTATTAGAGTTGTACTCGAGCTGTGTCCAATGATGTAATAGAACAAGGCATTTGGGCTGACATTGTTTCAGGGTGTGTCATTGTAGGGAGTGATGATACATGCCTGCATTGTTGTGTAAGATGTGGGCAGAGTTTTTCTTCTCACATTTTCACTTCATGCTAATTTTATATCATCTCTCTGTTTTCTGAACACCTGCAATTTCTGCCTGAAGCATGTCTGATTAGCTGTTTTTTTTCTGAGGACAATAGTTCCAAGCTGTTAATAAATTTGTATATCCAAAAGATCCATGAAATAAACGTCGCTTATTTTAGCCCTTATCCTGCCAGCTCCATGTACTTTTACATTGGCTTGACCAGATACGGTCTAAATATATGCATTTCCCATTGTGTAGGAATTTTCACAAACATTATACAAAATATTACCGTAAAATCTGTATTAGAAGCTGCATCCCTTATAAAAGCCGCACCCATTCTTTTTGAATAATTGAGACCCAAAAATTCATCATTTCTCATATGTGTAGACGCTCTAATAGAAGCCGCATCCCCTCTGTTGCATTGTCCCATTTTAATAGAAGCCGCGGCTTTTAATACAGATTTTACAGTACTTATCAATTTGATTCACTCCCATATGTAAGCCATAAATTCGAAAGCTACATCATTATTTTGTTTTGTTTAATTATATAGAGTAGATTCGGTATATGGCACACGTGTTTCTGTACGTCTAATTTGTCAATAGTTTTTAACAAGTCGGTTCTGTACATTTTCTTCCAGGTTCTTTCTCTACGTGTTCCTAATAGCCATTGTTGTGCTCCTTGCAGTTGGTGGCCAACAACTACTAACAAACTTTGGGGTGAGTTCCAATTATCATGTAAAAAAACTACATTATCAGGTGGTATGCAGTACCGGTATCTTAAAGCATGTGTGTTAGAACTTCCCTGACACTTTTGTGTTCAATACGAAATGCAACTATCGTGTTGGAAAATTGTTGTGAATAGAATAAACGGCCATAATGCAGTTTAACCCACTGAGCGTTAAAGACAAATTTTAAATTTGTGAATGGTGAATTAACCAATTTAAAACCTACATAATATTTTTATCATTTTTCCAATTTTGATTGGTGACATAGGATGAAGAAATGATCTACTTGTGTTAGTCTTGCTCTCTTGTGTATTTGTTTATGTTTAGAAGTATTGATAGTTTTTTCAAAAAGACTAATAGTAAATTTAAAATGTTCAAATTTTTTTTATTTAAAATGATATAACTTTATTACGCAACTTAACCATCTGTGGGTTTAGTAAGGTAAAAAATGATTACAAAGACAAATAAAATAAGACAAACTATAATTAAAATACACTAAAATACAACAAAAGAAAAGAAATAAAAATTGGAAAATCTCTGAAAAATTGCTTAAACAGCAGCAAGGTTCTCCCAGACCACAGTTACATATTTAACTTTACAATTTATAATTACCAATATCATGTACACATTTTGACATGAAATATTGTCACTGCTAAGCATGCTAAAATATGTGTACTTGTCAATAACGTGGAGTAGCATTTTACTTGCATCATTCATCATGTGTATTCTGTTTAAATGTGGCATTAGTCACATTTATAAAGTTTGGCTTGCGTTTGATGTCTATCATTGATGACTTTTTCCCATGATGCAATGCACAAACAAATAGGAGAATACCAGTAAATTCAATTTCAATAGAATTTGTACATTGAATTCTCAAGTGAACAGTTGATTTAGTATTTGTCCCTCTGGTAATTTGTTTTTTGCCCTGACATTTAATAATTGGAATTTGTACATTTAGTTTACATTGTATTTTTGTTTTATTTTGCTACAGGTGTTTTAAGAATAAAATTAAAATAAATGATTATGTACTTAAATTCCTTTTTAGCTCCACTGTCGACTTTGTCAAGCGGAGCTTATCATATGAGTGATTGTCCGTCGTTGTCCGTGTCAATGTTTAACTTTTTCGACTTCTTCTTGAAAACTACAAGCCTGAATGCTTTGATACTTGGTGTATATGTACCTTGGGTAGACCTCTCTCCGATTTGTTCATTTCATGATCTTATCTTCAATTCTCTAATTTTGGTGAATATTTTTGTCATTTTTGGTAAAAAGTGATATTTTCGACTTCTTGTTAAAAACCACAAGTCCAATTGCTTTAATATTACATATATAGGTACTACATGTGGACCTCTCTCAGATTTGTTCATTTCATGATATCTTCAATTCTCCAATTTTGATGAATATTTTTGTCACTTTGGTGAAAAGTGATATTTTTGAATTCTTGTTGAAAACAGCAAGTCCCATAGCAATGATACTATGCATATTGTTTATTTTTTAATGATATCTTCTGTTCTTTAATTGAAATGTGCATTGCTAACAGTGGAGCTATCTCAGCCGAGAGGCTGATTGTCCTATTTATAGGTTAGATTGCTGGAACATTTATTGATGTCATTGTTAATTCCCAGCTGTGTCCTTCATTAACTTATTGTTATATTGTCTATTGTTTTGCTTTGTAGAAAAAGAAGAGACCTGCTAAGCAAACAATTGAAATTGGAACTCAGAACCATTCAGATGTTGATTATGATTGGATACCAAAAGAAACACTAGCTGGAATGAGTAAGTGTAAACACAGATGGTCCCAATCTATCACAAAACCATTTAATTTAGTTTATATTGTCTCCCTTTATTGTTCAATTAAATGAATACATTGAGGATCTTCAAACTGGATACATCAAGCTGTTTATACATTGTAACAGTTGGTTAATACCAAAAAATGAGCTCTCATTTCACTCGCTTCACACATGGGAATCAAAACACAATATTTAAAACAATTGTACTTCTGGTTAGACTACTAAGCCATGTATGAATTTTGGAAACAAGTCTAGACTTGAGTACAACTGTTAGAAATTGGTGTTCTATTTTTGCCATAGACTGGTACTCACCAATCACTCGCCTGGTCAAGCAGGACTTGGTGCTCGAACACTTGCTACCTGCATGCCAATGTCCAATGATGTAATAGAACAAGGCATTTGGGCTGACATTGTTTCAGAGTGTGTCATTGTAGGGAGTGATGATACATACCTGCATTGTTGTGTAAGATATGGGCAGAGTATTTCTTCTCACATTTTCACTTCATGCTAATTTTATGTCATCTCTCTGTTCTCTGAACACCTGCAATTTCTGCCTGAAGCATGTCTGATTAGCTGTTTTTTTCTGAGGACAATAGTTCCAAGCTGTTAATAAATTTGTATATCCAAAAGATCCATGAAATAAACATTGCCTATTTTGGCCGTTATCCTGCCAGCTCTATGTACTCGATACATCTATGAGTGACTACCCAAACATCCATTGAAATTTCCCAGCTGAGCCTGGTTTATCATTCATATTATCAATCTATATATATACATGTAATTTGGTAAATGTTAAAAAACTTCCTGCTTCATCTTTCAATACTGTATCCATTCCTTGCAGATAAAACCTCTCCTAGAAGATCTCCACGCAGGCGTACAAAGAGAGGAACTGGTTCAGATGACAAGTAAAACATTCCATCAAATGGCACTGCAAATGTTAAATTTCACGTGTCACATTTTTTTTTAACTTGTTCTGAGAATATTCTCCAGAATCGAAAAAGGTGCTTGGAAAAGACAAAGATAATTGTGTAATGAATAATAAAGTGACGTGCGAGAGAAGTCCTAAACTTGATACTGTCTTTTGTGTGAATTTCATCAATAAAACCCCCCCAGCAGCGTAATGCTGTCTGTAAATATAATGAAATGTTGACTGTACAAATATTTTATATAGATGCCTACTTTTGGAAGATTGTCTTGTATTAAAATAAGTTATCATGGTTTAAGTGGGTCTGGTAACACAAAAAAAAATGATTGTATTTGAATAGCAACTCTCAAAACTGGTGGTTTCATAAAGACACGTGTGCCCATTTTATGAGATTGCCAAGTACATAATCATCATATTGGACACTAGTTTTATTTTCACAAGTTTAGTGCCTGTGCTATTAAATAAAGGCGTTAATTTTACATGCTATGGCTATTTGGAATTAATTTTAGTCAGTTAAAAATTTGCACAATACAATTGGGACTTTAGTAGTCTGTCTTATTTTAATGAAAGGCGTGTGAAATGTTATGCAGACTAAGAGATGAAGTGCGCTTGTTTTTTTGGTTAATATTTAAATGAAATTTAATATTGAAACAAATTATGAACTTTATGCAATTTTGATGCACTAGCTTTTAATGTACACCTTTGAGTTGAATTCTGAATAAAATTCTCTAACAAAAATACTGTTGAAATGTGTTTATCTAGATCCTCTAGTTATTTAAACATCAGTGGTTAAGTAGGTCAAGGTCATAGCGTTCATTTGCATTTTGGGTGCCAAACTTGCCACGTCAAAATAGGGCATAAATAATAGTTTACATAGAATGCTATTAATTCCTCATGAATTAGTAATGAGTCGCCTGATTTTATTGGTCTGTATAATTCACAATTGAAAGGTGCTCTCTGATTGGTTGGTTATGACGTCACAAATTTTGCATTCAATCTAGAGAATCCCAAAAAACGTCAACAAACATGGCGGACGTTGCGATCGCACCGATAGAGACTGTCGCAGAAATTTGCGAATCGAATGAAGAAAAACTCGAAATGGCTGAACCCGTTAAAAAGAAACAGAAGACGGAAGACGATAGATCATTAATAGAAGAAAAGTTGGAACAGAGACTCAATGGAATTCTCTGTTGTGCCGTTTGTTTAGATCTGCCGCGGAGTACAGTTTTCCAGGTTCGAATCATGTAGTTTGATTTCGTAATTATAATTTTTGCGTCGCAGAAAAAAATCTCCCAACTAACAGTTCGTTGTGTGTTCTGAACGGAAATTCACATTTTTATATTGTTTATATGATTTTCTTTTAACTGTACGTTTTAAAAGTAAATTCGTTGTGGGGCCAACGCAAAAAATGTTAGATTTGTGTGCAGTTCTGGAGTCCGCGACTACAGTCTGTGACTGCAAAACAGCCCTTGTAAAGGGGCGATGAAGCCTGGGAAAGCTTGACCTCTGAATGTAGCTGCGGTTCAATTGTGCCAGTTGAAGTAATTTGTATTTAGTTGAAATTTAATATTTGACGCGAAACCATCGTAATATTGGACAGCTAGAATATTCAATTTAGGTAAATGCATCCTTACTAAATAAATATATTTTTCGATTTACATTCAGACGACTCTGAGTGTTCATAAACTAATTCCAAGGGAGGATATAAACAATATTGTCGCTTAGGTGTTTGCAGTCGTTCTGATCGTACTGTTTGATAAACCACTATCTTTACATCGATAATTGTACACAAATGTTGTGATTCAAAACTTTGTCAAAATACCGTACGACCGAGGGAAAGAGTCTGATCAATCGATTAGGGTCGAAGTCTTGCTGTCCCCGGTGACCAACCCACAGAGCTCTGCTGGCTGACCACGCCCTTAAAATTCATTCCCTGCATATTATGCATGCTTGTTGTGCATAAATTAAACTCAACTGTTGGATGAGTAAACTAATATTGTATCGGGATATATTGATAATTGTCCAAAAGTAACAATTTGTGATTTTATCTGATTATTTGGCTATCAATTTTTAATAATAGTCCACTGCTGAGGTTTCTTGATTGGTTTGACTTGCGTGATTGACAGGCTATGTAAAAGTGGCTTTGCAACCAATTTTGTGAACAAGACATTTTCTGAAATGTCCTACTCGCATATAGTCTATTATATATTACACTCACAGATATTTTAGATCACCTATTTTACCTTTAATACTTCCCATGATCTGAGAAACCGGGATTAACTAATTGTTTTTAATGGTTATATTACAGTGCACTAATGGACATTTAATGTGTGCTGGGTGCTTTACGCATCTTCTAGCAGATGCACGTCTCAAGAATGAACAGGCTACCTGCCCAAACTGTCGCTGTGAAATCAGCAAAAGTATGTGCTCTCGTAACCTAGCTGTTGAAAAAGCAGTATGTGAATTGCCAGCAGCCTGTCAATACTGTAACAATTACTTACCAAGAAGTACGTTGGAATTTCATGAACGACAAGAGTGTAGTGATAGGTAAATATTCAACTAAAATATTCATATAATTATACTTACACACACACATAGCATAATGTTGATTAAACCCCCATTTTGGCAATGCAAAGTAATCTTGAAGCTTATGATGGAGGGAGTTTCTGAAACAGTTTACCTTCAATGACATCTATTACAAACTTTGTTTGTTTCTTCTGAAATAAATATTTTTTGAGTGGTGATGAATTTAGTATGCTGAAAAGAATACTCAAGAGTATTAGTCTTGTATTAAATTATTCTAATTTGATAGTTTACTATGTTTTCCAGCTCCGACATCACCGGTACCATTGACCTATTGTCTCATTATTCCAATGCAAACGTAGTTCTAGTTAATATTTCAAAAAGTTGCATCATCACCAAGTTATTGTGATATCCTCTGTTTGGTTAAGTCTGTAGTTGATTATTTGAATACTGATATCTGATGTGTCATTGAAGTTAATTTTTCAGAGTCTTACTCAATCACAATTTACATTTCATATAAATTGAATGATAGCTTTGATGTCATTTTATGAGTGAGTGTTAAGGAATAAACAATGTTAATGTATACTAATCTCAATAATAGTAAAAATGTAGTAAATACAGAAATTCTGCCAGTTTAATTTAAAAGAAATAATTTCTAAAAGTGTGATTGATTAATACATTAAATTCTGTGAATGAAACAATATCCTATCCCCCACCTGTTGTATATGTTTATATTACAACATAAAATAGAATTGCAGTATTTATTAAATGTGGATATGACTTTCAACCTTACATGGTTTGCACATTTATTTCATTATGGAAGAGTAAATAAACAAGGGTCAAGATGTAGGTACATACAGAATTCATACATGCAGCATTCCAACCAAACTGAAAGATTATCCAGTGAAATTTTTATTTAGGCTACATGTGTTGTGAAGTCTTTATAAAGAAAGAAATAAGTGCAATCACATTGTGCAAGCTTATTTGACATGCTTTCTTTGTGCACAGGAGGCTACATTCTAAGCAGATTATTATTTTTTTGAGAAACTACATATTAAGCAAAAAACAATCAAAGTGCAGCAATATGTTTTTTTGAGATAGGCAAATGGTAACAACTTATTTTATTACCAACATTTAATAATCAGGTACAGACATTATCTATTATTTTTATTAACAGCCATTGAGATATACAAATTAAACTGGCAGTTTCTGCTGAATTTACTAAATTCTTGTAAAAAAGTGATATTGTGTTTGTTATGTACTGTTAATAAGGCTGATTTTACTTTTTATACAGAAAAATTAAATTTGACAGATAAATATTGAACACTTATGAATAACATTGCAGCATTCATATCCAGTGGAAAATTAAAATTATGTGATGGTATTATAATAATTTAAATAGTAAAAATAAACTTTACTAGTAGTAGTAATAATAATAATAATAATAATAATAATAATAATCATACAAATTTATGATGTCCACCTTTAATTGAATGTGTCATAATGAGCATATTTTTTATCAATGCCAGAATAAAATTACCTGATGGTGTGGATTTTGTATCTTTTCTATAAAATAAATTAGCAGTCATAAATAAAATCATAGATACATACTGTTACCAATACTAATATGCTATTTATATGCTTAGTATTTAAAGGCACTTCTACTGCATATCTTTGTTTTTGGCATATGCATTACCAATATTCAGGTTTTGCCAGTTTCAGTAAAAACCTGCACACAACAAATGCTACAGTACATAATGATTTACCAAGTTTAGTGTAAACAAAATTCTACATGGTACTACCATATGGTCTTGAATGTTTTTGTATGCTTTACAGCATTTTAGCTATAAATAAAAATGTTTATTTTGTCTACATAAATTATAATACATTATTAACTGATTAAATATATTGAGTAAGTTTTACAACCTGGACACACTACTAGTTTGAAACACTTTATGTCCAAAATGATGGATGGCCAGAAATACTTTCAGATGATTTTTTTAATTTGTTAGGTTTTAGGGGGACTGCTCCATATCCAATGGCATGGGGTTGAGGCTCCTTAGGCTACTGGTTAATTTCCAACTCAAATCACCAATGGTAATTTAGTTTTAAATTAACGAGGGCCAGTTATTTTTGATTCAGTAAGTCAGTCCATGAAAAATGACTATTACGGATTGTCATTTTTTTGGGAAATTGTCTTGCCTTTTTAGGACAACTAGCCAACCTGCCTACCACTACAGTCCCTGCTCAACATCGTTGTCAACAGTGTGATTTCTGACCTGTATGTGGTTTGTAGTAGGAGGATTGGTGTCTGTTTGGTTGTAGGTAGCTGGGTTCTCGACAGTCAACTATTTAAAGCGTTCACCCTTCTCCGAGAAAGTAACGCTGAAACTAGCAAGCCTAATGCTAAATTGTTATACCTGGTTTACTCTGATCCTTCCAGTGCAGTGTCCGCTCAAGATCAGAGACCAAATACCCATCTGGTTTTGACTTGACTGTCATCAGCCACAAGTTTAAGTCAGCAATCCAGGCTCACAATTTACAACATATATTGTCACAAGCTCGTCGCAGGTCTTGTTACCTAGTTTCTGATGCCTACCCAGATTGCAATTCTGTTTCCCCAGCCATTAATTTCAATACTACTTAATAGACTACTTTCTCAATCAGGGTGAATTTTTACAGGTTTTCTTCAATGACTTTCACTTCATTCAGGAAACAGTCTAGGCAATGCTCAGATTTCCATGAGAGGTAAGGCAGTTATTGCCATGTAAGTCTCTTCCATCACTGCTTACAGTAGAATCACCATTGCATCTGCAGACATTGGCATGATCACACCTGGTGAAGCCTATAATGATATTACTATTTGCTGTTTTCCTTTCTATAGTCACATATGTGTTGCTGTTAGTCTTTCTAGAGGAGGGTTTATTGACAACGATACTAGTGATCGCAAGCATTCCATCTCATGGCATTGCAAGTAAATTTGTTACAGTGTTCATCACAAGGAGTTTTAGTTTGTATTGTTTGTGTGGGTCATGTAGATTTGGCAGGGCCTTTGCTCTGTTCATACATGCTGCTGGGTTTTCCCACCCAGTCAAACACAAAGCGACCATGCTTCTTGCATCAAGAGGAGTGTGATGACGTGATGCTGAATGACTTGTTAGTAAGAACATCATAACATCGCTCCATTTTACTGGTAGCATTCTCAAGGCCTGAGGGACTGCTTCACATAATGAACCCACTAGTTCAGTCAATGGCAAGCTGTCTCTAGACATGTTCACCTGCCACTAGAACCAACTGGTCCAGTGTAAAAGTTGTGGCTTTTACCGCCTTCTAACCCACAAAATCATGTGTTCTTCACTGCCAGGCTAAAGCACCAAATAGGCTTGCTTGCCACTCCTTGGAATAACAACCCTAGGATCATGCTGCCAGATCCATAGGCATGTCACTGAAGGTGCTTACCCTCATAGTTTGTTAAATCACTTTTGAATCATCTCTCCCCCTTCCTCCCAAGGGACAGAGAATTGATTCTGTACCAGGACTTGGACTGATGTAGCACTATAGGATTAGACTGACACTAGCTGGCCCTCCAACACAAGTTGTGGACTGGCACAATCCATCAAGTCCAAGACCAAGGCAGGTGGCTCCCTAGCAACCATAATGTACATGAGACCGCTTTAAGCAATGTTGGCAAGATCTCCATAGGCACACATCCCCAGTGATACCAGACCCCATCTTATATCCTGTGATTGAAATTAGACAGGTCATAGGTGTTTCTATCTATTTTCCTGCATAGGGCCAAGTCAGCTGCTTTGCAATCAGCAGGCGCATCCTTCTTCGTCTCACTCAGGTCGAGATAGCCCACTAGAATGTTTGATCCTCGTGCTTGGGAGGTCAATTCCACTCTGTTTCCACCCTTGAGGGTAAAACTAATGTTAACAGCTAAAATTGCAAAAAATGCTTTGCTACTTTTTTGATGTGAACCCCTTCTTGGGGGTGGGAGCTGTGGGGTTCCCCTGAGGGGACTTTCCTACTTCCTTAGCCAACTTTTGGCCTTCCTGCACAGTTTCCTTCCAGCCCTTATTCTGGCCAGGATATCATCTAGTAGTCTTTCACCTGGTGTTACAGTATGCTTCCTGCCTTTGGTTTTAACAGTCAGAAAGGGCAATGCCTCATAGTGATAAGATGTCTCTTAACTATCACACTTTGTAATTGACTTGTAGCTAGTACCTCTGTTTTAATTATCATATATTCTTTCTTAAAACATATGCTGTCAGTAGAGAAGTGCTATTTTCAATTAAAGTTAAAGTTGTTAGGGTTTTCTTGTATGGCTTTAGTCTGTAGAAAACGATTTGGGTTGCATAGGATTTGCTAAGTCAGACTCTCTCAAACTTGTAATGTGTCCAGGTTGTATGACTTCAGTTTATAAAACAATAAAAAAAATTTTTACACCTAATAATACAAACCAAACATACTTGCAGCTCATCTAACCTACCCAATAATTTTTTTTCAACCTGAATAATAGCAATAAATTTTTAGGAAATTAATTAGTAGCATGAAGATCTGCAGCATCATGCTCAATTGGATATGTGTCCCTTAGGACTGGCTATATTCAAAAAATGTGTATTGGCTCTAAAGTATTTCAGGCAAATTATTCATCACTTTTGAAGTTCTGTTAAACTTCTCAAACTGTAAATATGTCCAGGTTGTGTTAAGTATGAAACCTATTTTTTATGGTATGCTATTTAGTAACTAGAATAAGTTGCCTGTCTTTTGTGTGTAGATTCAAAATTCTTGTGATTTAGGTAGGTTTAGATAGTGTACCGGTATATCCGTAAATAAATTAGCTATTTAGTTAGTAAACTACAATTGCATGCCTAATATGCAAAATCACACAGTTTTTTGATAGTGGAGGGTTTTAACCGAGACTTAATTTGGAAAAAATACTGACCACTGAAGATCTGGTTGAACCAGGAATTAAAAGAAAAATGCATTTATATTCATTCTTGATTAAATAATATGGATCACTCTTCCTAACTGAAATGATATATACCATATAACCAAAAGAGGCCCAATAATTTTCCATCTTCTTTTTTCATTGCTTGTAGTTTTTAAGTTTTTTCAGAAGGCACTTGTCCTTTTCACAACTCCTTCCTGGCAGATGAAGTTCAAAATGAAGATTTAATTAATTATGTAGTCATTTGGTTGATTTTTTCACACATGCTTTGGCAAATTTTGTTTCGAAGTTGATTTAAGTAAATATCAAACTGGCAAAGATGCGTTGTCTGGTACAAACACAACTACATATAATTTTGATCCAATATGGCAAAAACATTAAAATAAACAAAGCTTTCCAGCTTTTAAGACACACCTAGATCGATTGTATTCAAAGCATGGTAAGAGCATAATAGGAAGCAGTACTTTATGCATATCATTTAATGTTATTTAAATGTGCTGACCATAGCCATTCAGTTTTAACGCTTTGTGTTCGTTTTCCATTCTCTGAGACACCTTGACCAAGTCACAAAATGTCAATTGCAACATAAACTGAGTTTGCTTATATCGTATTCTTTAATGGCTACACTCATGGAAGCCAATTTTTTTAGGCCTATATAAAATACACAATCTGATCAAGAACTGATGAAATTGATGTGGATACATTTGATCAGTGCACCTGCTACATTTATAGGAAATCATTTTACTAATTTGTATATGTCCATAAAAAGATGTTGTGTCATGCCCTTGACGCAAGATATTTATATAAAGAATGAAACCATGATAGATAGTCAAAAGATAGTCAAGTGAAATACAAAATATAAAAGAAATTTATGTGAAGAAATTCAGAGCATGAATTAGTCCGGCTATTAAGATCTTTCGTGGTCAGTACAAATATATATTGACATTTAATGCTAGTTGTAAATAATTATTGAAAGATGCTGAATCAAATTGTTCTTTTTCTGTATAGAAGACAGTGCTTTGAATGTTAATATTGTTTGTTCCTTAACATGTATGTTCTTGTTGGGATTGAATGGTGTCCACTGTTTTCAGTAATACTGGTATATTCCCAAGCAGTTGGGTAGCAATTAGCTGGAGTTCCTGCCAAGTGTATCTGGACATTTTGTTGTTACTTCCTGTATATCGTGATACTTTTTTATATCTTTCATTTTTTGAATTGTAATTTCTATATGATGTTCGATTTCTGATACAATACACATGTTAGAAATGCTATCTGGTCTAATCCATACAATCCTGTATATTGTTAACTATACCTGCAAATACAAACTAGGTTGACAAATTGCAAGTATCAGCGCATTGGCTGCTCCTGGTGCGGACCATATCATGAACTACAGGAACATGAGCAGCAGTGCTGTCGCCCTCAAAAGAGCGGGGCTGAAATCCTGGAGGCCCTCCAATCCATAGACCAAATTCGTGATGATGAGATGAAAGTGTACAGCAATATATTCAACCTCCTGTCTTTTGAGAAGATAACATTAAATGGTTAATATTGTAGTGAGATCTCTTCTTTGTTTTTGTTGAAAATTACAACCTTGGCTTGTACTCTGGATTCAGGTTATGTCCTAATGGTTTGTTTGTATGAGTGTGAGAGAGAGAATAATGGCAAAATGTTTGCTCATCAAAAAAGCAAAATCAAATGAGACACAGGCAATTAAAATTGATCACCTCTTCAGTTTGGTAGTTAAAGTAGAAACAATGCCAGTATTCATTTTAAGAACTGATTTTGGGTATTCACCAAATTTTAAGCTTCATGTAACTTTAGTAGAGATGACAGTTCCAGAATTAACTAGTCTCATCAGAACACAGTTATCTTTTCCCTGGTTGCCAGAATAGATTTTAATCATGAGTTGAAATGTGAACAATCTAGAACAAATTATTCATTAGAGAAATAGTGGACTGGTAACTATGCTTCAGTCATAGTTCATAAATTAGTGTTAAAAGTTAAATCTTATTAAAAGGTAATGGTTCACCCTTCAGCCCTTCACTGTTTCATGCATGGCCTTACTCTTAATTGTCAACATAATGAACCTGACTCAAACATTTTTTTGTGGTGTTTACTGTGCCATTATGATACATTTTACTCAATCTTTACTGAACGGTAAAGCTCTTCAATGCAAATGGTTGTCAAGACTTCAAGGAGCCAGGGAATGGACTGGAGCTGGTTAGAATTACTGCTTAGAAAAGAAGATTTTCCTAACCAGACTAAGCGTTGCATTATACTGCAAGACAACAAGAATGTCTGAATAGATGAAAACCTGTGACATTTTCTGTGACCATGAATTTTATTGATACACCTGACCACCAATATCATGCTGCAATCTAAATCTGATGATGACCCTGCCTCCCTGAAAGCAACATTGCTTGCAGCACAGCTGTATTGTAAAAAAGTAATAAAATGATGGTATTTAGGGTGTCCTCATACTGATTTGATCCTCGCAAGAATGGCAGTAAAGAGACTAGTAACATTATGTAGTTGTAGACAGTACACAATCAATCTGTGATTTGCACCTCACTGGTACAGTTACTGTAGCAATAAACATGCAATGCTTACATCACTCAAGAGTAGATTGTTAACTTTCCGGCAACGAATGTGCATCCAGTAAAAATATCAAGTTACTTTGGAACAAAATCATGATGTAACAAGAGATTGCATTATCTGCAGAAGGGTGTGGTTTATTGTCACAACACATCAGATCAAAGCCATATTCCTGTATTTTCGGAGAATGCCAGCTAGCTAGAAAATAACATTGTGTGAAAGTTACATATCCAGACTGTCCACAGTGATGCTTGTTATTATGCTGGCCATTACAATTCATGGAGGTTGAGGTCTACCAGAAGAAGGTGTTCTTTGATGCAACAATTTCAGTACAGGGATAACATATTCATGTACAAAACATTGTATATGATGCGTGAAGATTGGAATGTATTATCCTACCACAAGATGCTATTACTGGTACTTGCGAAGGCAGCTGGACATTTTAGTATGTGGAGATGGGGTTCTCTGAGAAAGTTACTACTCACATTTCCACAGCACTATATTACATGTACTACTCTATGATGATCAATAAAGTTGAACTTAGTGACCAATTACCCTTCTTCTGCTTTCTTCTACTCCTTAACACAGGAGGGATTTTAAACAATCCAGTTAAATGTACTACATGTATATAAAGGCCAGGGGGTGAACCATTAAATAAAAAGTAATAGAATAGAATAGAGTACATGATATGTCTGATACAATTCTAATATATAGGTATAATGTATACAGTTTTAGAAGGTTCGTCAGATTTTAAATACAGAATTCTAATTATTAACATTACTGGTATATACTGGTATAAACAGTATATGTGTACACACCTACCTTAGTCTGTGAACCAAATGATTAGGGTTGCCTTTTCGATCGACCTGATATCACTGGATTAAAGGATTAAACCTCTTCTGAATCCCCCTACTTTAATAGTTGAATGGACAGTCTCCTTTCATTTTTACTCATCTGTCCTCTCATTACAGGTCCACATTCTAGTTTGCGGGTTGCTGATCTTGAGCTGGTTCATGACAGTTTTCGACTCACTACAGTCAGATGACTATAACATCAGTGATAAGGGTGTTGCAAAATGATATCTTGGTCTAAATATGACAATATCATTAGGAAAGTCATCATAATAATGTAGTAGAGGTCCTAATGTTTATGACAGAACCCTTCAATACCACTGTTAAATCTGATGGTCAGTTTAAGTGTGCTGCAAGTGAGTTCTCAGTCATGCCAGTTGTTAGGTTTTATTGTCTGGCAAAAGGTGGAGCATGTCAAGAAATTTTATCATGAGAAGGATTCACCAGGTGCTAAATTTGTACATTTCCTGATGTGAAATTAAGTTTTATCATTGGTACAAGTGATGGATGATTGATATTCTTTCCTACATTTGTATTTGGTATAGCCACTGTTTGCTCTAAATTGCTATTCTATCGTGCTATTATTGTCGGCTACTGTATAAATGCTGCTCTGGTGGAACTGATTAGACCTCATGCAAGTGAACTGATGTGTGTCACATTCTGTTTCCCTGTTTGAAACGCACACAATTGTGAATTGAGAGTTTTTTTAGTACTGAATTTCTTGCCCTACTGTCCTTTTGAACCTCCTAAGCAGTCTTCATTCAAGGATTGAACACAACGACAGAATCTGTCATATTTATGCTGGAGATTTTAAGTCAGTTTCACTGCTTCCAAACATGTCTTTTCTATATATGAGTCAGGATTCTTTTCCTTGGTTGACTTTTATCTGATCTTGATGATCTTTTTCAGCATTGTATGATATTCTGGTGCTCAAACTCTTGTCTTGTCCCCATATTACTGGTGCTTAGATAGAACCAAGGACAGTCATCTTCAACGAGACTTTAGCACACTATGGAGAGTTTTTATTCAATGATATCAGGTTGACTAGGGAGGTAACCGGCCTGCTCATGTGGTTCATAGACCAATGTAGGTTAATAGTATACTGTAAAATGCTTTGATTTCACCAGTGACAAATTTTTGTGAATTTCTCAAGTCAAATGAAAAATATACCGTAGAATAGCCAGAACCAGTCATGAGAAGAGAGGTTAAATGTGCCACCAATGTAGGGGAGCCTGGACACGACTCCTAGCTCATCAGTTTCAAATGTATCTGACAATTTTAAGCTAAAATGCATCAACAAATTTTAGAGACCAGAAATCTGTGAAAGAACTGTTTAGACGTCTTCTGAATAAACTAGAAGCTTCTAGGCTGTATTTTATATGTATTGTCTATGTATTTTATGGAAAAGGTGAACTGAAAGTTGAGATTCATTCCCCATTTCTCCTCTAGATGGCTATTGTGTCATCAGATAAATTGTTATTTTGTCAACTTACTTATTTGTGATGGATATATTTATTGTTTTATTGATTGATTTTGTGACTATAGCATTTGACTCAAGGCTGGAAAACTCTTTCACAGAGGAAAGTTTTATTCATCTTGATGTTGATAAACCTGCTGAAGGTCAAGTGCATCAGGTTTTAGTACTTGTACTGATGTAGTGAGTCGGTCAAGATTGGGAAGGTTGCTGTATTTGTTCACTGATCAGGGAAAAGCAAACCTGAGACTCTGTGACTGGCAGAGTCCAAACTTGTTTGTCCTGCAATTGCAAGCAATTAGCTTCTCTAAGTATCAACAACGGTTACATGTGATGTTATGTTGTAGCAAAAGTTACCTTCTTGGGCAGTCCTAGGCTACTTGCTCAGAGCCTCTGTAAATCTTCACCACATTCAGCTGACAGTTCTGTAGCCATGCTTGGCTGGAGTTTGTATAGAACCTGTGAACGTGGACAGATGAAAGCAGAGGCCATCACTCCACTCAAGCAAAGTGAAGCACTGGTAGGAGAGCCTTTGACAACTGGGCATCCACTATTGTGGTTAAAGTTCCATCCTTTTCTTCCTCATCGTCATCAAAATGCCTTCCAGCTGATTCGCTAAAAAAAGTTTGAGAATTGTTAGCAAAGGGGCGATCTTCATAGTGACAGGTGAGCTACTCAACTGATACAGTACGCCATATTATTGACCTGGCTTGAGCCTACCAAATCGGAACATTCCAGCAGATTTTTTTTGAGTGGGAACCCCTGCCCCTGTGTGATGCATTGTATACATGCACATGGGCAATTTTCTAGCATCACTCGTTTTGAAAGACGTATACCAGGTATATGCATGTACTGTTTTGTCTCAAGAGCCGTTAGTACCTAAGCCTTATGGTTCAGGGTTTAAAAAGTACTATCAAAATGTTTATGCTTTAGGGCTAAACAGCCCACCCCCCAGGGTACTCACAGAATATTTTGGAGTACCCATAGCACGACTGTACTGATCCGACATGCTATAAGCACATGTCTTTAAACAGTTACGATCTTGCACATTCTGGGTTTCTTAGTAAAACTGACAAAAGTCCTTCCCAACCCCTACTCCTGGGTACGGAGTTCAACTCGCTGAAGGGTCTAATAAAGTTCTCGCTCGCACAGTGCACCAAGGTCAATGACCTGGCTTGTGTGCTCCATGCCAATTCAACAGTCAAGTTTGTAATTATGATGAATTTTTGTGGGAATGATGGCTTCTATGCAGGGACTGCCCAATTCAGGCATTAGCACTACGAGCAAGGTGGAAAGAGTCCAAGGCGGAAAGAATCACTGCTTTGGTCATACACACCATGGACCTCCACTAGTCAAAATACCCTCCTGTAGGGGATGGACTTACTTACACAGCAGGGATAGCAGAACAAATTATCATCTCCATTCATAAATCTGGTAACAGACGCCTTAAGGTAGGATGGAAGCCCATGTCATAAACTTTAGGGGAGAGTGGCATTATTGGAAGCAAGAGTTCCTGTACTGAGGTTGGCCCTTAAGAGAGTACTAGTCCACTTCCTGGGTGAGATTCAGAAGAAGTTCTAGTTAACAGTAGTGCCATAGTTTCACTACTCTTGTCAGTTCTGGTATCAAAGCTGATCCATATACCCCCTCTTAAGGGGCTGTTTACAGGAGCCAGACATATTATGTAAGCCTCCTTCGAAATGAATTCAGTGACACTTTCACTTTCTCATTTTCCAACTTTCCAGCCATTGGAAAAGCAAAATAGTGAGAGAAAAAACGGGCAGGATTTAACTTGGATTGGCTTTCCTTTTCCCACAGGCATTACTGTTTAGTTTTTCCAGTCAGAGCCCTGTACTCTTATTATTATAGAACACAGAGATCAAAGGGTTTTGTCAGTTTTGTGGTGGGGAAACGGTGCTGTGCATCCCCTACTCTAGTGTGCCAGCTAGGTCAGAGCACTGGCTAATTCCCTAGCCTTCCATTAACATACATATTGCAGGAGGCAAAAGGTATGAACTGCTTCCGCCAACTGGTTGCTAGTCGGTGGGTGTGTGGACAGTGCAAGAGAGACTCACATGTAGCACAGGAAAGAGAAAAACTTATACCAGCTAATAAGCCCAGGCTTACCTATATATAGTGAGGACTAATTTTTTCTGTATCAGAAAACCTCACGCCCAGAAATCACTTTTCACTTTGTGTTGTGGGCATAGTTCTGTCGTACAAGTGAAAGTAAGCATCTCTAAGTTTCTCCACTAAGGTGAAGAGCTGCACCAATGTCATTACAGTGAGTACCATATCGGCTATAATTAATTAATTGTATGGTATTAGGTTGCATGCCCCTTTCTACCAGGGTTTCAGAATCAACAGATTACCCACCTCCTTGGTGTGCCTATGTACTTGACCACCTAAAACTTTTAATCTATATCTCTCTGTCAATTTGTATATGGTAATTATGGTTTAACATAGTAAAATAGTTCAGATTTACGGTACATAGTGAAATCATACTTACCATACCCTGCCCGCCTTCTGTAAATTTATAATTCTGTGGCCCTTGTTTTAGAAACTTGAAAACGATGAGCTAGGAAGTCACTCCCAAGACGCTTTTAACCTTTTTTCTCATGCTGGGTTCTGGATATTTTAAGATATTCTGAATTTGGGGTATTGATTATATTTCTATTGATTGTTGTAAGCATGGTGGTCACTGTGTAAAATAACAGATTATCACTATGTGAATCTAAACTATTTTATATTTGTAATCTTTAAAAAAACTACAAATATTGATAATTAGAACCATGTTCTCCACAAAACTGTAGTGCTAGATAAGGGATCTAATTCCTAATTTGTATATAGTTAATATGACAGCTTTGATTTCTTGGGGAAAAAGATAGTCATGTGAATGGATGGAGATCCCATTAAAATACACCTGTGGAGAACACCACATCTTTACACATAATGTACAGATCTGCTGCATTTCTGGAATATATAATTGTCCTGGTGTCTCATTTGAATTTGTCATCTGAAACAATTGAAGAAATTATTGCATTCACAGTTCACATTTATTACCTGTGTTACACTTCTAACTATTTAATGATTTCATATTTCTATATTCATTGTGATTTAGTGGAAGTTTAGAACAGCTAATTTTGAGCGTTTTCGTTCCATCAGAAAAAAAAAATACCAATACAAATTGCGTTGCATAATAATATTGTTTTGGGACTTGATAATTGAACCTGACTAGTACGTGCAGGGATTGTTATTTTGGAATGAAACTTAAAATGACAATATTATTAAGTGTAAAAGTATACATGTAGTGCTTTAAGCATATGCTGCAACCATGAATTAGTATGATTTTTTGATATGACCACAAAGAATCAACAAGGTATGTATGATATGTATATCAACAGTGAAAAGATTACAAGTAGGTATTATGCAGCAAATAGAAGATTAAATGTTTTACCGTAAATACTCTAATTTAGGTCTCAGGGAAGAGTAAAAGGCCTTAATTCGGCATCACAAAATTATTATTTTCACATAACAAAAAAATACTATGCATGGGTTTTAATTTTGTCGGTAATGTAAGATTTCAAATAAAAACAAATCAAATCCATTGCTTAGTAGCAAATGATCCGCAAGGTAGCGCAATCCAGTCATGCTGTGTTTCACAAGTGAATAATTTGAGGTATTGCAATTATTACTCAGTCGTAAGTATAATATCGTACAAAAAAACAATTTGTTGGTTGGTTGGTTGGTTGTGAAATGCAAGTAAAATTCAACTTAGTTTCATAAGTGAATGTTTTCAGTCGCAAGCAAATGCTGGATGCAATTTGACATCCACCATGTTTTTTCTATACATGAGTTGACCTGAAACTGTGTTCTTTGACCTGATAGGTCAAACCATTTATTAACCAATCAGAATTCTGGATGGTGTCAACGTATTTGAATTACCATAGTTATTTAAATGTTAATGAGGGTTCAGCGACCTCATTGAATGGCAATTGCAACACAAAAGAAATTGAATGATCTTTTGGCTCTGATTTTGTTGGGAAATTAGTAAATTTTGAAAAACAAACTGAACTTTGAAGAAGCATTTAACACATTTCACAGCAGAAAAGAATGATATGTTGAAAAAGCGGTGCCTAAATTAGAGTATTTATGGTAGTAAATGAAAGTACCGGTAGTAGAAAAGTCAAATGTTGCTGTAATTGTTAACAATAAAACGTAAGGTATTGTCTGATAAATGCTTCTGTTTTACAGATTTACAACTGAGACCATACCGTACAGATGATTTCATTCCACGTGTGTATTACGAAACTTCGCGTTTCTCAGCATTGGATCAACAGTGGGTTGTGAAAGGCCAGGTCAATGATAACCACCGTGATCCATCCCAGAGCTACCAACGTACGATCAGCTACCAGCTGGTATTGAAGAGTCGTGTGGGATCTAACTGTAACCTGGATGTCCGCTTCATTGTTCTGAAGGGTCCATTCGGTGAAATGAAAGTCAAGCCTGTTATCTACAACTATGAATTCACCAGTGACAAGTATGAGAGTGATTACAATCTACTTCCACTGTTCACCCTTGGGGAATGTAACAAGTTGTTGGCTTCAAAGACTATCAACTGCAGAATTATCATGTTTCAAATTCAAAAATAATTACCATGTTCTTATAAAACTGAAAAAGGCATTATTTGGTGGTGTGTTTCTATTTTTAAAGTATTTAATATATTACTGACATGTAACATGCATTAAAACCATTGAATTATATATGATACTAAGATATATATTAATGGCTATGACAATATATAAGACACAATGTCTGCCATTCAGGGAAAAGTCTTTCTTTTACATTGTTGAAAAACTAACATTGAAGAAAAGTATTGTAGACAACTGTCACCATGTTATTTTGTGTCTCGTATCATGGTATGAAATCTATATTGATGTCATATATATCTGACATTACCATGTTCATGATGAATCTGCCACAAAGTAACATGCATTTAGCAAATCTCATCATACCCTGGTTTTAGCCTCTTTTATTGTTATGGGATACTAGAATCAAAATATATGTATTCTGTACAACATGCTTGTAGAGGGTTCATTTTGAAGCACATTGAAATATGCTTTGTGTGGTTCACACATGTTTATTGTTCTTTATCATGCCCTTGAAGTACATAATATATAGTACTCTTTCTATCAACAACTATTTACATTAACTCAGTAGTGCCTAGACGTGTTAATTGTATGCATGTATTGAAATGTAATGAAGGGGTTCAATTGTATTGACCAAAGTAAATTTTGCTTCAATTTTTTTTTTTTTTGGGGGGGGGGACAACCCATGTAGTGTTTGTGCTTTAACATTCTATATGAGTAAAACTTGTCTCAACCGAACACCAAAAAGACTAGAAAAAGTGTTTACAGATTTGTCATTCATTTGTACAAATCAGTTGTTCTTGTATATCAATTTGGTCAGGGTGAACAATATTTGGTCTCTTGTATAACTGACTATAGTGAGTCCTATCAAGAAGGGACTAGAAAATATTCCTGGTTTATGTGATATTCAGTTTACACAGATTTCATTGTTTATTGTATCTGTCTAATTTGGATACACTATGTATAGTTTGTCAAAAACCCTCAGATGTTATGTTTTATTAATTTCATCAAAACTGAATAACAAGCAATATTGTATTTCTTATATTTGAGGCTTATGTGTAATAACATGATTACATACTATTATCCATGAATATTATAATATTGTTGAACCAATCGCCATTTTTGAGTTATGACATATAAGGTTCTAATATAAGAAATCAATGTACATTTTGGAGATCTGTTGAGAAAAGGAACCAATTAAATAGTTTTGCACCATCAGCTTTATATATGCAAGAGTTGTCTACCTGCTTTCAAATAATTTTTTAGTCATTATTTGGGTGTGTTAATTTGTAGTGCTTTATTCTCAGCATTCAGCATAGATACACTTGATTTGTACACTATCACAAGAGACTACAGTCAAACCTGTGTTAGTGACCACCTTTATATAAAGACTACCTGCCTATAGTGATATTTTTTTGGTAGTCGTAAGGCATAATGTATGAACAACCTGTGCCATGTGACCACTCATTCATGAATACTTTTGCAGATTCATTTGTGTTTAGAGACCAAAGTAATAATTAACATTCTGTTTAAAAAATAATTTTCAATTTCCCCAAATCAAACTTTTTTTATTTTGATCAACTCAAATAGAAATGTTTCTGTTGAACAGTACCAGCTCATTATTCCTGAACAAATATTGTCAAATGTACGAGCTTGCCATCCATAAAAAAGGTAATTCAACCTCCATATACCACCTATCTATAAAGAATAATTTAATGAAGTCCTTTGGTGGTTTATATACACAGGTTTGACTTTATTGTTACTTCATTATGCCAAATACATGTACATGATTTAGTACATCTTTTTTAAAAATGTATTGTTTTACTTTGTAAAAAAATCCATTTTTTTTTTAATTATATCCTACCTTAATATTGGATATAGACACCAGCTCTTCAGTCCTTTGCCAAGGATTTTTACATTACTTGGACACTGTTATTTTCTTCTGAATTGGTGCAAGAACTGTGTGTAAACTTTGCATCGTATTCACATTAACATTATTTTGATGTTTCAGCATTGAGCGAAAAACAATAGTCAATTAATTGACTACCATGTTTGTTTTAGAAAAAAAAGCATGGATGTTCATTGAATTAGACAGTGTACCCAGTAGTTCAAAAGACCCACACCACCAAGCTACTGATATGTTGCAGTTTATTCTTCAGAAACAACATTTACAACAACAACCTGTATCTGTTTTATGTAAAGTGTAAGTAAGAAGAAATGTTGTCTATGTATCTGAAAAGTGTGTGAAGGACTGTACTGATAAATTGCAGTTTATTCTTCAGAAACAACATTTACAACAACAACCTGTATCTGTTTTATGTAAAGTGTTAGTTAGGAGCAATGTTGTCTATGTATCTGAAAAGTGTGTACTGATAAATTGCTAGTTTCTGTTTTGTAGTATTACATGATATTATTGTAAGACATCAACAAAATGCTTATCAGTCATGAGCTGAGCTTCAATTGAAACAGGGTCATTATTTATTATATACCCCCAAAAATTTAGTTTTTGCATGTTTAGCTACTGTGACATGATTGCTATATATGCAAGAGGCAAATCATGGGGTATTGTGCCACACGATGGAGCATAGAAGCTCATTCAAAAAGATCACAAAACATTTAGCATTATCTACATGCATTTACAAAGCTGAAGATGATAGTAGAAGCAAACTAGTACCAGTAAATTGCTGCACTTAGTATCAATGTAGTATACAAGAATGTTTCTTGGACAAATTACAATGTCCAGCAAATTTAGTCAACTTTAAATATGTAAATAAGTTCAAAAGAGCAGTGGCCAGTATTGTTTTTGTTGTTACTTCAAACGTTTTACTTTTACATTTGGTTTTTAGATCTAGCACCGATTGTTTTAACATTGTATTGTTTCTATGCTGCAGTATCATATTTTTAAATAATAGTGTTATATTTAACAAATTATTGTTATTTATATAAATTGTTTTAATTATATTTTGAAAGTGTTGCTGTGCACAGCAAGTTAGAGCTAACATTTTATAGCTAAAAGATAACAAGGAATATTGTATTGTTATCACACATGGTAGCTTTTCTCCCCACCCATTTGATATAAGTTTAGTTGCCAGATATATACAATATAGCATTAGGCTATATACATCCAGATCTGCTTGGTGCGGCTCATTTCTGCTCAAGAACTCCCTGAAAATCATTGGGGAATTATCATTTTTACCAGCAACATGATTGCATAGTGTATCTGCATTTTCTTCTTATTCAGAAGTGCGTATTACTGATAGTCTTCTGTTTAGTATCTTGAACAGTGTTCTCATATGCATGCTGCATTTATTTGAATAGATTTTGGTGAATTGCTGCTGTTTGATTTGTGCACAATAAATATAAATAATAACAAATGTTTCCCGGGTGTTTTTTTGGCTTCCATGTCTAAGCACACAATGCAAGCCTTTCAATATACCCATGTGTATGTGTTATAGACAAAAATTTTATTACCTTGAAGTGGCTAGGTGTAGTGGTTACAATGTCTGTCTGTGTTGTCGTTAACACTACCACAACATGTCAACTAATGCATAATCACTTGATATAGCTGGCTTTAGTGTTTTTGGAGATATTGATGAAAGTGTGCCTCATTAGCTTATAAACATGAAACCAACACAAATATATTCATATGTATAATTGAATACTGATAAGAGTAGCTTAGCTTCAAATTAAGTAAAATAATAAGCACTTTCATTTTTTTTTACCTTGCCTGTATCATTAGATGAAAGTGAGGTTTATGAGGTTGAAAAATCTGTCCTTGGTCGTTTTGTCTAAAATCATTGTTTCTTGTGGTTGCAATAACTTAAAGCGGGAGGGGTGCCACCTGCGCATATGCAGGAATTGAGCCCCAAGTACAATAACAACACGCGCTAAAAACACAAAGTCTCATGGGTGGACGTTTGTAAACAATGACATGCTATGCCATCTGATGCATGCTCAGGTGATGACTCCCCCGCTTTAAAAATCATTTATAATTTTTGAGATGCAAGTAAAATTGGGCTGAAATAAGTGCAGACATTTTAACTAGTGATTACAAGAACAAGATGTCAGTACTACACTCTCTAAGATCTGATACTTAAAGAGCATAGTAACCAGATATATTGTTTTCCTTACAGTGATATCAATCATTTTTGGCACCAAAAGTAGATAATATTTTTCCTGCCAAAATCATGGCTTGTATATTTTTCCCCACCAAAATTGTGCTTAGCTAAATTGTTATTAAAGTAGTATAAAAACTGTTATGCAATTCCTGTCATATTCGTTAAGGGACCATAAGATTAATGTTACTATTCCAAAAAAGAACCTTTGGATTAATATAGAACATGTACTACTTAAGGTATAAAATGCTATTATACAAGTATTAATACATTCTCTGGTATTTATTCATTTTATATGTTCATGAAGTAAGATATTCACCAGTGTGATAATTACATAACAATCAGTCTAGTTCTCATGTAGTATGAATACATTTTCCCCAGCATATTTTGAAAAGTATTTTTCACCAAAATTGTGAGAGTATCCTGAAATTTGCTGAGAAATAATTGTTGCACTATTTTTATCTCATTCTGTAAGGGGTCGCAAATTAATTAATTAATACTGTACATTTAATATTAAATGAGAGAAACAAGAAGAATCGTTAATTTGATAAATGACTACCGTAAAATCTGTATTAGAAGCCGCATCCCTAATAGAAGTCGCACCCATTTTTTTTGAATAATTGAGAACCAAAAATTCATCATTTCTCATATGTGTAGATGCTCTATTAGAAGCCGCATCCCCTCTGTTGCATTGTACCATTTTAATAGAAGCCGCGGTTTCTAATACAGATTTTACACTACTTATGACCTAATAATGTTCAAATTTTACACATATATCACACATCTTATCTTCATTATGTACATTCATTTCAATTGATGATTAGCGATTGGATGTCTTGTAATTTCCTACTTTTGAATGTGTCGAAAACTGAATTTGTGTGCATGTCG